AAAGTGCTATGATAAATACTTTCACATATATTAGTTGGTATTCACTATAACCTGTGGGTATGACAGATGTGAGCAATATTTTATAAATGAGGTTTTCAAAAGTGAAGAATTTGCCCGAAGTCAAGTAGCTTTACGCATTCTTTCACAAAACAAACATTCATTGAGCATGGCTTTGTGCCAGTTAATATTCTAAGTAGTCATAGAGAACAAAAGGAAAAAGGCTCCTGCTCTCAGAGTTCACATTCTAGTGGAAAGAGACAGATAAAAGAATCATTTATAAATAAGAGAATTCTAGATAATAATATGTATTACTCAAAAAATTAAAATCAGGTGGCATTATAGAAAAAAACAGGGTGGCTATTTGTATTGATCATGGAAAGCCTCTCTGAGGCTTAGGCTAAGAGGTAAATGATGAGAGAGCTCAATACACAAATATCAAGAGAAAAAGACTTCCCAAAAAAAGGGCAATAGTTCATGCCAAGGTCTTAACGAACAGAAACAAGCATGTTACACAGAGAAAAATGCAAAGGTCAGTGAGGTCGTGTCATAATGGACAAGGAAGGAAATGTTCAAGATAGAAGGGAAAGAAGGAAAATCATATAGAGTTGTGAATTGAAAGAAGAAATAGGGATTTGATTTTCCATGTGATGAGATACTAGATAAAAGTTTTAAGTACAGTTGTATGATTTCTCTTTTTTAAAAAAATTGCTCTGTCTGCTATGTGAAGAATGGGCTATGGTGGAACAAGACTGGAACAGAAAGTCCCATATGATGGCCATGGCTGAAGTCCACTAAGATATTAATAGGGGATGTAGATAGAAGTAGACAGACTTAGGACATGATCAACAAGACAAATGCATGGATTGAAAGTAGATGGGTGATCAAGTATAACCCCTGGGGAGAGAAAGGAGTTCTCTCTAAATTTTTTGCTAGAAAAACTTGGTAGATGGTGCTTTTGCTGGAATGCAAGAAATTGGGAGAGAAGGAGGTTTGCAGAAGTGGAAGGAAATCAAGTTCTGTCTTACACGTATTAAGTATGAAATTCCTACTAAGCATCTATGTGTACATGTTAAGCTGAATATATAATTCAGAAGTTCAGAAAAAAGATTGGAACTGGTGCGATAAATTTATGAGTTGTTGACATAATTATTAAAGTTCTAAGATTGATGGAGGCAACTAAAAAGAACCTATAGGTAAACAGGGAAAGGGGACCAGGCAGAAACCGAGGGTACTCTAACCTTTCAGATGTCAGCATTAGAAGAATTGCTGGGACATTAGGCAGAAGTGACCAGTGACAAAAAGGAAAAACTAGGAAATAGGATGGCACAAAAGCCAAGAAAAAAATGTGCTTCAAAGAGCAAGATGTGGTCACCCTGCTAAATGCTGCTGAGACAAGAAGATTGGATTTAGCAAAACAGAGTTCATGGAAGACCTTGATAAATGTAACCTCTGCGGAATGGTGAGTATGGAAGTCTGCCTGAAGAGAGGTAAAGAGGATGTGCGAACTGAGTAAACGTGAGGTGAGGACAATATCTGCAGACAGTTTTGTTGTGAGGAAAAGCAGAAAAATAGGGCAGCAGGTTGAAAGAAATCTGGGATCAAAGAAAGGCTTTTTAAAGAAAAAAAATCTTACCTATTTTATGACCTATGAAAGTCCACAGTCCTAACCAAGATTTCTGAAATATCTGAGAGGAGGCAGAGATGATAGAGATGTGTGAGTGTATTAGTAAGTGTATGTTGGTGAGGGCAGCAGAAAGAACTATAACAATTGTCACTCAGTAATGGTGACCTCTGTGGTCCCCACACCTTTTATGTACTTGGATCCTTTCTGTTGTCCACTATATTAGCTTACATTCTAACAGTGGAGGGAAGGCGATTCTTATGAGGTATTTGGGGGGAAAGACTTTATTGAAGATTTGAGGGTAATGAGGGAAACTCACATAGCATACTGTACACCAAAACAATTAAAAAAAAAACTCACATAAAATATTCCTTCTCTTAAAAATCAGCCATACAATCACATGGTTTTCACCAGCCCATTGTCCTCCATAGCACCCAGCCTTCTGCTGTCTGACTGGTTCCTCACCCCTCCTTTCTTCCTCTCTTTTGTTCTATCTTCTGTGTTTCCTCTTAGGCACATACACGCACAAATAAAAACTCTGTGTGTGTGTGTGTGTGTGTGTGTGTGTGTGTGCGTGCGTGTGTGTGTGATATGTAGATTTTTATTGGAGATCTATTTACTCTTTTCTTTGTAGTGGAAAGAAAGGCACTTGGGTGCCCACTGATACCTACACCCTTAACTTTTATTACAAATCACATAGTTCCCTTTCTAAAAGTAATTCTGGAGCCAGTTCTTAAGATAATACATTTTCCATCTTGTTCCATATATAAACCACCAGACACAGCACCTATCCTATTAAGGCATTCAACAAGTGCCAGCTCTTGACTTTTTTCCTCAGTGAGGAAACCTGAGCAGAGGCAAGCACTCTGACAGAATTTCAAACAAGGTTTTCCACACAGCCTTAATTAATGTTTATTGAGTTACGTAAGTGGTGCTCTTGGGTTAGAAGAATATTCACTGGCTTCCTCTAAGTGTTAAAAGAAGTTAAGAGCTGTATTTACTATTAAGAATTAAAGGTCTAAACATAAGACCTAACACCATAAAAACCCTAGAACAAAACCTAAGCAAAACCATTCAGGACATAGGCATACGCAAGGACTTCATGGCTAAAACACCAAAAGCATTGGCAACAAAAGCCAAAATAGACAAATGGGATCTAATTAAACTCCAGAGCTTCTGTAGAGAGAAAGAAACAATCATTAGAGTGAACCAGCAACCAAAAGAATGGGAAAAAAGTTTTGCAATCTACCCAACTGACGAAGGGGTAATATCCAGAATCTACAAAGAACTAAAACAGATTTACAAGAAAAAAAAAACCCCATTCAAAAGTGAGCAAAGTATATGAACAGACACTTTACAAAAGACATCAATGAGGCCTACAAACATACGAAAAAATGCTCAACATCACTGGTCATTAGAGAAATGCAAATCAAAACCACATTGAGATACCATCTCATGCCAGTTAGAATGGCAATCATTAAAAAATCTGGAGACAACAGATGCTAGAGAGGATGTGGAGAAACAGGAACACTTTTATACTGTTGGTGGGAGTGTAAATCAGTTCAACCATTGTGGAAGACAGTGTGGTGATTCCTCAAGGACCTAGAAATAGAAATACCATTTGACCCAGCAATTCCGTTACTGGGTATATATCCAGAGAATTATAAATTGTTCTGTTATAAAGACACATGCACACTTATGTTCACTGAGGCACTGTTTACAGTAGCAAAGACCTGGAACCAACCCAAAAGTCCATCATAGATAGACTAGATAAAGAAAATGTGGCACTTATACAACCATGGAATACTATGCAGCCATAAAAAACGATGAGTTCATGTCCTTCATAGGGACACGAATGAATCTGGAAACCATCATTCTCAGCAAACTGATACAAGAACAGAAAACCAAACACCATATGTTATCACTCATAAGATGGGTGTTGAACAATTAGAACACGTGGACACAGGGAGGGGAGCATCACACACTGCGGTCAGTAGGGGGCTAGGGGAGGGACAGCGGGGGTGGTAAAGGTGGGGAGGGATAATGAGGGGAGAAAAACCAGATGTAGGTGATGGAGGGGGATGAAGGCAGCAAACCACCTTGCCATTTATGTACCTATTCAACAATCCTGCATGATCTTCACATGTACCCCAGAACCTAAATTACAGTTTAAAAAAAAAAAAAAAAAAAGAACAGAGTGATAGACCCTGCAACTTCACAGCTTTTTAGAAAGTGTTTACTTGTCCAAAAAGTTTTGATCCTTTAAAACATTAAAATCCTAGCACACTATATTTATTCAGTCTCTCTCTTCTTTTTCTAGAAATATTAATTTTAATATATAAATGATAGATTAATGAGATTTGACCTTATGTGGTCTTCAGAAACCTGCATCAATCTGAACTCTCCAGCCCTTCACCCAAAGAATGGTAACTTATAAATATACATCACTTGCAAAGAAATTTGGACATATAAACATGTGCCCTTAACTTTTGCAACTTTTTGCACATCTGAAAAGGTCATTCAGAAAAAAACAGTACATTAAAAAATTGCACTATTATATTCTGAGTAAAAAATCCAGTTTTTATATGCCAATGTGGCTGGAACAAAAAGAAAGATGCAGGCATCAGGAAGATTTACAACATGATTGAAATCTTAGGTTTAAGGGACCCTTCTATTATAATTTGCAGATTTGGTATTTAAACACATTTTGTCTAAGAGAAAGAAGACCTGGAATCTTTTACCATCCATATCCAATTTACTGTTCATATCTGTATGCACATGATTGAAAATATACTGGAAAGCCAGACCAAATGCCCCATAAAACTAGCACTACTCTGAGACAGTCAGTGACCACTTTAGTGCTAAGGGTTATAGGAAGAAGAGATGGGACACAGACAATAAGCATATATTCATTAAATATAGTTTTGACTGGCTCCCACATACCTCATCTTTGACCACCAAGTACTCCCTGTCACCTCTTTAAATGTAATCCTTGTCTTTCCCAATGGGAACAAAGTACATTTTCTTATCTACAAAAACATCTCATCACGATGAAATGAAAATAATTGACACTTTCTATTTTTAGAACCAGTATCTCTAATTCCTTCTGTGTTACTACAGGCAACTGGGACTCTAGTTTCAAATCACACATAGTTGTATGCAAGTACACACACACAGGCAGAAATATTGGGAGTGGAAATCAATTATGCAGATAATTTTTTTATTATTGCTTTTTTCTCAAAAGGTGAGGTCAAAAGAATAAAGAGAGAACTACTTAGGTGAAAATAGTATTTTGTGCACTAGAAATTAAATGTAACATCGCAGATATAATGCAGAGAATGGATGAATTAGAAAAACAGTACTGCTTCTTAAGGCTCACCTGTACAAGAGAAGTCATCCACACGAATGTATCCTGGGATACAGTCACATCGATACAACCCAGGAAGGTTGACACACACAGTATTGGCATGACAGTAATGCATCTTAGCTGCACACTCATCAATATCTGAAGGAACAAAAAAGACACAAGATCATGATTAGTAAAATAATGGAACAAGAGTGTAATCATATTGCAGATAAATTACAAAAGGCGAATGTCCATTGAAGCCAAGAGGAAAAGGAACACGCATTAAATACAAAACCTTAAGTGAAAATTCATCTGGGTGCATTAGATCCTATCCTGAGCTGAAAGTGTTTTTAGAATGATGCATGGTGAGACACACAGGTAAGAACCTAAGAAGTATGAAGACTGAATTTACAACTGTTAATTTCTTCCCAAGGAGAATACTCTTTTTAAATGCACAAATTCAAGGAATTCTGTGTCCACTAAGTTGATACTAATGAATATTTATTAAGTGTCCACAGTACATGGTGTAGCTTTTATCAGAGGAATCAAGGGAATCTAGTCCCTCTGCTTGTATGTCTTACTAAGACATACTTCAACCCATCTGCTAAAAAATGATGGTACAGCTAGTTTCTCCCATGTTGTACTATGAACATGGACAGCCACTGTTGCCTGATACAAATTAATGTCTCTCATCTTTTGACCTGGGGCTCTTCTCTATGTGATAGAATAATGGACTAATTCAACAAAAGATCTTGTTCTCTTTGGGATGGAGTTCAGAGCATCACCTGCTTTCTCATAAAAGTTCATGATGGGGATTAAAATAGCCTACAACCGTAAGCACAGAATTTAGCCTTTCTGGATATTGTTTTCAAAAATAGATTTATGTTCCTTTTACTCAGACTGCTTGTTTGTGATAGTTAGAGAGAGAACATGAGTACATCATGGGAATCCAAGATAGAAAATATGAGCTCTAGTTCCAGTTCTGATGGCTAATAGCCTATAACTTGCATTCAACTACTCTGGGTCCCAGTATCAACATCATTTTGTCCCAAGAGTCAATTCTGAAACCCGTGTTTTGTATTTGTAAAGACATTATCTAATTTAATCCATATGCAATCCCATGACCAAAATACAAACACTACTCCCATTTTACAGTCTAGAAAACAGAGGTTTAGAGAATTTAAATATCTGGCACAAGTCATCCTGTTAGAACAAGCTAGACCTGGGATTTGAACTTAGAAGTTATTTACTATTATTTACTTCATGAAAGCACCTTGAAAAGAGTGATTGGTCAAGTACAGTATTTCTATTACGATAATCACTGAAGCTATAAATGTTATTACTATACAGAAACTGAGGTTAAAATTGGCTACATTGAGTCACTAGGAAACTCATTAATCTATTTATTTTCAAAAAAAGTAAGTTGATATAATTCCTAATAAAATACATTGAAATAACATCAGATTCTTTTCAGGGTTAAAGGTCTGACAGTCTATAAATAAAAGTTATTTTGAGGTCATTGAAGTCTGAGAAGGAGACCCACAGTGAGCAAGACTTCCATAACTATGAAATAAGAACAGAACACCAGAAATTAGTGAAATAAGTCAGGCAATCAACTTCCTGCAGGCCAATCATCATCTGAGAGGTTGCTTCCTGGGGAACTCAACTTGCACCAAGAATCCTGATGAAGGCAAGGAATTATTACAGTCAGACTACTGGAATGCAAGAGATGGAAAACTAAAAGAAGGAGTCATAGAGTAGTGTGATGACATTAAGATTTTGGAAGTGATTTAGTTATTGTTGCTTATAAGGTCTTTGGAAGAACTATGAAAGGCCAGTGTAGGGGGAATAGATATAGCAAGTGAGAGGTTGGGAACAAGAAGAGAAGCCAGGTATTAGAGAGGGCTGCTTGACATTAGTGTGTTGTTCATAAAATATTACGAGTTTTCCTCTCTCTGGGCACACTGCACAATTATATTTCCCCATTCTTTTCAAATTTATGCATGGTTTAAATTAATCTCATGAGTGAGCATGAAATCTGAGTGGAAGCATATCACTTCTAAGTGGAAAGATTAACAGCTATCATTCAGCTTACCACATTTGATTGTCTCTGCCTTGTAACTCACGGAAGCAAAGACATGGAGACTCTTTCAGCCTGAGCCCCCAAGTGAGGAGCAAGCCATGAGGGAAGCACCACATACATATTGCATGAGTTAGAAATATGCCTTTTTTGACTTTAGCCACCATGCCTTCTTTGACTGGTGCAGAGAATGACTATAAAAGTTATCTCAAAAAAGGATATCATTAAGCTTCATCTTGAAAGATGAACAAGAATTCATCAGGTAGGGAATGAATGTAGGGAAACTATAGAGGCTAAAGTTTTTGTCAAGTCAGAAAAGGAAAGAATTATTTCGTCGTGTACACTCAAAGAACCTTCGTTAGCCTTCTACTAAACCCAGAGGTGGAATGATGAACAAAATGCCACATAGGCCTCACAGACTGGCAAGACACTGAGGGAAATGTGTACCAACTTCTACCAAGGATGTGAGACCTTTCAACAAGGGGAATTTGACCTACTCTGAGTCAGAGAAGGATTTTCTATGGTAGTGATGCTTCATCTGAGACATGAAACAAGTGAAACAGGCCAAGGAAAGAGAAATAACCTACCAGACAGATAAGAACATTTGAGAAGACTTAGTTACAAAAAGGATCTTTGCCTATTTGAAATGAAACTGGAAAAATAAGCTTCGGCCAGATCCTGTATGGACATTAGTGTGCTGCTCATAAAATATTACCAGTTTTAGATTCTGCCAGGCCTTGTAGGACATGTGAAGGAGCTCAGACTTTCATCAGAGCAGTAACACAATTCAATTTCTCTGTTTCTAAAATATTACTCTGGCTGTAGTGAAGAGAATTGATTAGAGCAGGGCACGCTGAAGGCTAAATCATGCTGGTATTTTACTCACAGAGATACAGCCACACTGAATTCCATCTCACTCTGCTGGGATGCCTAGCCATCCTTTAAGATGAGAAACTAGTCAGGACTTGCCTTAGAGGCAATTCAATCTTTGGCCCATGGGCCACAGCTGCCAACCAGCCTGCTGAGTGCAATGAATGTTTCCTTGTCATGGACCCTTGTCAATACCTCCCAGAGAAACCTCCTAGCTCATTTCCCTTAGGCCATCACCAAGTTGCTGAGAGGCCTCTGCCTCATCTAGATTTTAGGGAGTTACTTGGCTATAACAAGCTTATTTTGAATCAAACCAGCCAAGCTATTTCCTTGTTTCATAAGATTCCAAGGCCCTGAATAAAAATATTTTCAAAAACCAGACAAGGGAAGGTTAGAAAGCCCCAGTGAGAAATAGTCACATGGATTCAATCCAATCCTTGCTCACTACATGTTATCAAGACCCCATGCCCACACATCCCTGCTGCTCTGCTGATGTGTTTGTGAATAGATTGTTTTCACTTTATACCATTATTAATTTCAGCTCTTGCATATCTAATAATTTCCTGGTACTAGTCCAGAAAAAGCACTGAAAATAAAGATGAAAAGTTGACAAATGTGCCAGAAAATTAAACTGTCACAATCTTGCCTTTGTTGCTTATTCTTCGTCATGTAACCACCAGATATAAAAGCTACCTTGTGGTAAAAATGGTGGGGACAGGAGAGGGAAAGTGAAGTGGAGTAATCCAGCTGAGCCTCTTGAGACAAAAAGATAAAAGAAAGAAAGGAACTGGCAACTCCTATGGTTTTGGGATGGGGACAGGGGATGGAACACGTTTGCCCAAAGATTGCCTCTCCATTCTCAGGGAAACACACAACCCAGAAGACAGTTTCAATAGGATTTCAGGGTGTTTCAAAGCAAATCTGATTATATGATTATAAACAGAGTCAAAAAAGAATTAACATCTATACAGAGCTGGGTTATCCTGAGAAAACAATCTTCAGAAAGAGCAAACAATTGAGATTTTTATAAATGAGGCTAGGACAAATGCTGCTTTTTGTTCACAGAAAAAAGGCTCTGAAAGGTATTGAATAATTACAAAACAGAAATCATAACTACCTAATGAAAGAATGAACTGACATTTAAAGAGAGAAATTGAGTTGGACCAAAGCAATGAGAATGCTAACCACAGGCTTGAAATGCAGTCTGACCTTTGCCCAGATGGTGAAAGTGCTCTGCTTGAAGCAGATAATCTTGAGCAATGGTCATATTCATCCAAAAGCCAGGAGACAAGAAAAGGCTAAGCCTGAGGCTAAATCTCAGAGCAGAAGTTGAACATACACAAATCCAGGCTCATGCTAAAAATCTGAATCAGTCCAGAAAGCTTTGCTAGGAAGAACTACTGTTAACCCAACATTTACAGGAAGGATGAATTATTTTAAAAGCACATTGTTAGGCACAGGCTGATACCAGTATTCTGAGATGGTACATACCTTATAAAAGAAAACTAGGAACAGCCCCTGGCAATTGGTAAATACCCAATAAATATCTGCTGTTGTTTTAGGTATCAGACACTATGCTAGGTACTTTATATGGAGCATCTCATCATTCTATTTATCTTGACTACTCATAAGTAGGTATCTCCATGCCATGAAACTGAGGCTCAGTGATATCAGGTCACTTCACTTGTCAAAGTAAAAAATCAGTAAGCACAGAAACCTGGGTCTGAATCCAAACAATATGACCACCAAGTTGTCATTGTTCTCACCGTGCCAGTTTTAGTGCTGAATAACATTTTGATGCTATGATTATGTTAGCTATATCTGATGTTTATGACTATGATTATGTCAGATACATCATGATGTGTTTGGAAACAAATGGATCTCTAAGTTCTATATCCGTGTGCAAGGCCATTCATGACATTTGTTCTGGCATTACTTTCTCTGTTAAAATGGTACTTCTGCCCCTTGCATTGCTGCTTCCTTGGATCTTTTAAATCAAATCCTTATACTTTCACACTTTAGACTCCAGTAACCCAAGGCCCCCAAACCGGCAGAAGGATTTTGCTCCCAGCTGGAACTCACAGATTGAAACAGCCTCTACTGATATAGTTTGAGACTATGGAATTAGTAGTAAAAAGAAGTTTTTTTATTATTAAGTATTGTTAGAGAAACATCTATAAACCCCAGTACAGCATATATCATCTTGAGT